GAAACGGAATAATTATAGTTATTTATTATATCATGGTATAATTTTTATCTGTTGTATTTCTCTAGTTGGAAGAATTGAAATTATCATATGATGATCAGATTTCATGTTTGAAGAAGGAGTTTGAGACGGAGAAAAAGAAGCAGGTAGCAACAGTAAAAGCAGTTCACGAGCGGGAACGTGATCGAGAGCTAGATGAATGGGAGACAGAACATGAAGTTGCTATGCAGCACTTGCGAGACCAACTTGACTCCTATCACCAAGTGATCTTCGATGAGGCTAAGCAGAAGATGGAGGCTGCCTTTGAGATAGAGAAAGAGGAAATTGAAAGCATTCATCAGGTATTACAAAGAAAATTATTTACTTTGGCAATTTATCTATTGTTATTGAACAATTGATTGATTGACTTTATTAGGCACTCGTACAAAATGCAGCAATACAATACAACACAATAAACAGAATTCTGAGGATATCACAAGAAAGTTGAAAATATTTCTATTGTGGTCCTCAATGATCTTGAGTGGTGACTTAAAACAGGAAGGAATAAATGAAGAAAAGTGAGACAAAGAGTAAACAATTATTATGAATAGTGATTGATGTTCATGCTTTGCTGATTCTTGTCCAGAACACTATTAAAATGGAATTAGAGAAGATATCTGCATCATTGGAAGGAAAACACCAGAACAAAGTAGATATGATGCAAGCCGAGAACGAGCGTGCCCAAGCAACAGCTATTGCCGAGGTCACACAGCAGCTCAAAGATGCCCATAAAGTGGCCATAGCAACGTTAGACAAGGAGTGGCAAGATAAATTGGATGCTCTAGAAATGGAACACGAGTCTGAATTACTGGACAATATTGGTAAGTTGAGATTTTTTTAAATATCAGCAATATAATCTGTTAATTTCCATCAATTTTTAGTTCATGTCTAGTACCGGTAATTTGCTAATTATAATGTGAGTTTTGAATAGCACGTCATGCCATCCAGGGGCTTCATGTTATTACCCTGGTGATTGGATCAACAACATTGCTTAATGATCAAATTCTGGCATAATTTGCTCATGAAGTGTATTATTAATAATGTCTGGCAATTTATTAACGGTTTGTATTGTACGTCTGAAAGCGCTCAGTATTATTAGGACCATGGTCATTGGAACAGAAACAATCATACACGATGTGTAACATCCTTCGCTCCCTAGAGACCAAACCTTGTCATGCATAAAATATATTAACTATGATATGATAGTATGAGAATGAATTATTACATTTATAGATAATAGTAAAATGCATCTTTAATATCATAAATAATGTTGCACAAACATTTTTCTATTTATATGCTCGGGTGTAAAATGAGAAATTGTATTTTGATTAAAAATGTTGAAATGAGAGAAATTCTCAACCTTAAGAATGGAAAACTTTCTCTAAGAAAAAAGTAAACATGTGACTTTTATAATAAGATAAACATATATAAAAATGTCACTACAACTACAGTTGTCTATTCAGCTACTCATAATACTTTTTGGGGTCTGCACCCCACGCCCTACTTTAGGACATACATTTGCTGTATATTTTTCAAAGCTGCAGAACAGATTGCTGTTCTGAATATTCAGTTTGCTGTAAACCACATCTGCTTGACATTTGGATTGACTCAATGACCATTATTTTTCTCAAAAAAGATTTTATGGTACTATATAAATTACATAATTATAAAGTAGATTGGTGAGACTAAAGGCATTTATTTTTAACTGAAATTTTTGATCCAACATACAATATAGTAAGTCTACATTTGTCACTCGTGTATTCATAAATATGTGTGATATTAAGAAAAATTTGGTCTGTTATGGTTAATTATTTCTCTAAATTATATACTAATTTAATTGACAATTACATATTAATGCAATGAGATTGTTTGTTTATTTAAATTTGGTTTTGTTTTAAAGGTTATACGATATATTGTTGTGAATAGTTAAATGAAATTTACAGAGCCATCAGCTTAATCCTGAATACAGTACTTCCCTTACAGTTTCAAAATCTAATTCATTCGTTACAAATTGGTAGCCATTAATGGATCAAAGATCAGTAAACCTCAAATGCTCCTTTAGAAAAAAAAAATATGGTAGTACATGTACCAAAGGAAGTGTAATACAGTTAAAGTGTACTGTTGCTATCAGTTTTATTATCTGTTTAATGTTGTCAAGGAATTTTCAGAAAGACAATCTAATTATGCATTCAGTGTTTTCAAGCACAAGTGATTTATATTCATTGTTAAATATAAAAATAGTGTTTATTACAAGTTGAGCAGTAAGTAAATACACCAGGTATGTACAGTAGATAGACATGGGAAGGTCAGATTTATCTATGAAATGCAATTTTATCTCTCTGAGATCTGTATATAGTAGATTATTAACTAATAAATTCTTAACAGTTTTGCATCGTCTCCCAATGACAACAGATAACTATACCTTCGATCGTGCATTTCAAAAATGTCAGATTACAAAAGTACCTCACATCACAAAATTATTGATTAAAATTTTACTTGACAGCACAAAGCTGGATTGTGTTTTATGTTACATTTAGCTTTAAAATACTGCTGATAAATAGAGACTACACTGCAAATTCAAAGTTTGTTTAAATAAGAGAATATATCATATTAAGTATTGAAATATCAAAAAATCTTCAAATACAATTTTAAATATCAAAATTGAAGTCAAAAAGAAAGGTATCTCAACATAGTGGAAATTGCACAATATATTAACGAGAAACATCAACGTGATGAAGATATCAACCTAAGTATGGATAGGACATTACAAACATGGTTTTGATGTCGTATTGGGATAGTTTTCCCTGAGCATGTCAAATTTATGCGAACTTGGGGGTGTGGAGGGTGGGAAAGTACTACCCAAAATGCGAACAGTGTAATTTTACCCTCGCAGCTTGAAATTGCTAATGTAGACGGGCTGTTTGCTGCTTAATCAATTCTACATCCTGAGGTGTGGATGATTGGACTACCTCCTCCACAGCGTGTCAGGAGGTAGGTCCCAATCATCCAACACATTGACAAGTAAAACAGTCCATGTTGTGTTTGTTATCTATTTTAATACCTTCATGCAACCATCCACATAGCATTTTGTTGTTTTGTCACAAGTTGCCAATATTTACAATCACCATGGTTAAGAGTCAATTTTTTTATATATTTTTTGTTTAATTTCCAATTAAGGTATTTAAAATAGTATTATTTGTTCTCAGTACAACTAAAGCGACAGTGACGTGGGAATTCAAATGAATGATTAAATAAATATACTGGAAATTAAGATGTTTATGAAAAATATAAATAATTATTTCAATATGAAGGCCTTTGTATTCTACACATAAAAATAGTAGAATTAGTAGCTAGGTCGTATTACTTTTAAGGAGGTAAAGTTTTTTATTATTGTTGTGACTCTTACTATCTTTGACTTTTAAAATACTACATATTTTACCTATTGTATAATGGATCCTTCCAATAGTTGACATACGATTGAGTTGGTGTACAGTATGTGTAGTATAACCAGTCTGTGTCCACTGGAATTAGCATAACAACAGACTGATTTCTCCACACACAATACTAACACACTCCATACACACACATACTGATAGGTGGCCTTGCTGTTGGATGATCCAATTTAACCCATGCTTAAAGGCATTTTATATGCTTACAGGCTACGTCTACTAAGGGTTCAATATAATCTGTTTTTAAGGATTACTCATACGTGTGATTTATATTCTAAATGAAAGATCTATAAAATGTAAGTATGCTGATGATTTCATTGTTACCTACTACTACAGTACATCCTAGTACTACCTGTATTTTCTTAATACATACAGTACCCATGTGTATATAAAACCATGAAGTTAATATTCTTACATGAAATTCTAGTCAATCACTTTTATTTGGAGTCATAAGGTAAATAACTTGTTATATGTAAGCCTGGCGTTAGAGTAGACATTAAATTTAATGGATCACATAACTGACAGTTATGTTATTCAAGGTGTTAAATGTAAGTGGCAGGCCTAACTGTAGTTGTTTGCTTATCCTTTTGTATAGGGCTCTAATCATAACACTAATTATAACACTGATTATTGGTAAATCACAGAGCCTACACAATCTGTTGGTATATCAACTTCTTTCTCACTGATACTATAGTAGGCCTACTGTATATCATAGTTTATTTAAAGGTCATATGGTATAAGATAGTATGATCAAGGTGATGATCATCTAATAATGATTTTTTTTTTATCATTGCAATTATCATTATCTGCTAGATAGTGTCTGTATTGATGTCATGGTTTTGTTATTGATTTAAGAATGCAGCGAGGTCAGCGTAAGACGCATGGTTGAACCACACAAACGACATCATGTTTTTTATGTATAATATTCACATCAAAAATTTTATGTACATAAGATTAATCATTATTTCAATTCAGTATGTACACTACTACTGTAAATTCAGAGCAAAGTTGTTAACAACAGTAATTGAATGAAAAATGAAACTTCATATACATTAAATTTGTTGTTAAAATTTTTTTATATGATTAACATTGTTCAGTGTAATTTACTAACACTGACATTCTTAGTTTTCTATTCATTTAAAATATATAAAATGTGTTTTCAACTTGACTAGGTGATAAAGTATCCCTCAAAGATACTAGAAACACAAGATAGAGTTCTCCACACAAAAAAAGTGTTCCACCGAAATGCATGGTGGGAATACAAACAATGGGACGCCCCTTACGGCTGGATCTAAAAAAACTTCAACCAAACTTTCGTTACCAAATCTTCGCATATTTTATTGTCAATTCTCAATTAAAAAATTGTACACAATTGTACAATTAGTACAATTGTACCCAGACAGTGACAACGGTGAATACATAATTTCTTGGCAGAGGTAGAAATCGTTGCTATTATCCAAATAAAACACACAATTAAGCCTATAGATCAGTATAGAAAACAACAATGTAGCGCAAAATTGTATGGCCGGACGCACTCTAGTTTTCCTCCATTAGCGGAAAAAGAAGGGCGCCCTGTACGTCAGGCACGAAGTATAGAAAACTTGTATGGTTAAAAAGAAGGGGGCCGTCTACGTCGGGCACGATTTCCGCCTCATTTTTACTGTGCAATATCTTGTGTTTCTAGTATCTTTGCTATCCATGTTTAATTGCTCTGCTGACTGACATAAGCCACACAACCTTTGCTCCTTGCGCATCACTGTTTTTGGTCTTCAAATGAATAAAAATCACACAAGGAGATACAGTTTGGTGAATTGAACCGATTAAAATACAACAAAATATAATAACAAAATTAGATAGCTAAAATGTATAAAATAGTATCAATGATGATATCAATAAAACTTTGCCCAAGCTCATTGTTCTCATTTTTTAGCCAATTTCAGGCTGAAAATGTTATTTTGTTCTTATTTTACACCATACCATACAACCAGTGACCCTCTTCTTGGCAGAAAGATATACGACTATATAAGAACAGATTGTTTGAAGGGGAAATTATAAATTTTAGTACATGCTTAGCCGAGTATTTTTGTCAGTCCCAGGATGGAACTTCAGATATATTGCATCTGATGACAATAATGGAGTCGATATTATATATCATTTATAAAATATAACTTTTTTTATAAAAAGTGTTAGATTTTTTTTAATTTGTAAGAAGAATCAGTGGTACTCTTTACACGTTTCACAAATTTAAATTAAATATGTTTAATGATTTTTAGATAATTAATAAAAGATTGTAAAATATGTCAACTTTTATCTGGTGTTATGAATGTAGGTCTATTTTAAAAATTTGTTCAGAAGTGTTGAATATTCAAGAT